CCTCTTCTTCCCCTCTCTCTCCCTCTCTACCCTTTAAACAAAACGTTTTGCTCTTGCCTTGGCATTTCTCGGTGTTCAGTCTCCACACCAGGGGAATGAAACCCAATCCTGATTTCCCAGAACCAGTGTCAGAAGCACTGGTGGGATGTGAGCCTGCCTTGGAGTAGGGCTATACTAATTGTTCTTTTAGAGACTGTAACAGAGAACCAAATAATAAAGGCCTAAGAAAGGTAGAAATTTATTTCTCTCCTATGTGACAGTCCAGTGGCAGCATCCTAAAATGGCAGCTCCAAGGTCGCAGAGGCCCAGGCTCCTTCCAGCTTGTTGCTCAGTCATTCAGAGGACATGGGCCACTCCATCCAGGATGATCCACTCCACATCTTCATTCCAACCAGCAGAAAAAGGAGGGGGTGGGAGATATATACCCTTTCTTCTTTCCTTTTATATCTTATATGGCCACACTTGCTGCAGGGATTTAGGAAATGCAGCTTTAACTAGAATGGCTAGCTAAAAAGTCAGTGACTCTATTACCATAGAAAAGGGTAATTGGATTTGGGGGGATAACAGACAGTCTCATTCTCAGAGAAAACCACAGCTAAGACACAGCAATAAAATTTTGATATCTTTTGAGTCCCTGGATCCAACTGTGCCTGAAGCAGACCCAATTGCCTTCTCAATTATATGAGCTATCAATTTTCTTTTTGGTACATACCTGTTTGAATAGGATTTCAACTACTTAAAGCCAAAAAAAACTCTGATTAATACAGTGAGATATAAAGCGCTTAGTGGATGCCCAGCTCAGACTAGAAGCCTGTGGTGGGCATGTTAATATTATCACTACTCTGCAGTGGCCGCTTGGCTCCTTGTCTGCTTTCTCCACTGGTTTCTTTTCCTATGGGCAGTGAGAGCTCACGTGCTCTTTCCGTCTTCACGGCCCTTACTGACTTGGGATAGGGTAATTTCTTTCTGTTTCTGATGGAATTTCACATCTTCACTCTCCTATGTACACATCAGGAAAGACATCGCCCTCCAAAAGTCGGGGAGTCCCCCACACCCTCCGTCCATGTGCGGCAGGGTCCACTCTGGCATCCACAGGAACTCTCAATGCCTTTCTCAGGGTTCTCGGTTTTCTCCGCCTTTTTGTTACCATCGTGGCCACCCTGCGTGCTAATGTCATGGGAGTGAGGGTCCAGGACTCAGAGGGCAGAGGGGCAGGGGCTGATGGGCTGGAGTTGAGGCGGGGTTACCAGAAAATACAGAGCCCCACTAGGGGACAGAGGCTTTCCAGGAGAGGGGTACCCGGCCCCCATGGCTGTAGAAGCCAGGTCCCAAGTTGCCCAAGGGGCCTGTGACCTGGAGGGAGGAGAGGCCACCTCAGCTTGTGGAGGCAGAAGGTGTGTGCCGGGTCCCCTCCTTCTGCCGTAGCACGAAGTCCCCAGGGGCAGCTGGACTCATCGCGTAGAAGACGTTGGCAT